GAAGATTTTAAAATGGGTCGGCAGGGGTGTGCGAGGCCTGGCTACAATTGTCCAAAGGTAAGTAGTAGGGCAGCTCCACTACCCCCATCCACACCCTAGCTTAATTTTTACCTGTCCACTCTGGAGTGGGTGGGGTCTTAATTAGGGCTTATTTTGGGGGGTAAGGGCTTATATTGGGCTCGTGTAAAAATCAAGGTAGGACTTACTTTCAGGGTAGGTGGTATTTTCGGGGAAACGGTTATTACAGTGGCATAACGATAAAGGATGCCAAGCTTTGGAAGAATTTCCCTTACCCTCTCCTTAAAACTCGCACGCAAAATTAGTTCTGCCTTTTGGAATCAACGGTTGTCTCTGGGGTGTTTTCAGCCTCTGTCCAAAGCCCAAGTTGCTAGTCCCTGTGGAGGGGGCAAGAATCTCCCACAGTCCCCTTGTTGCCTTTAAGAGGCAGCTTGTGATGTGTTGTGATCTCAGGGAGGAGAGAGAGGGAACCTTTTAAGCTTTTTCTCTCTGGTCAATTGGGGGGTGCAGTCAGCCGCTGGGATAAATTACCTTTAGCAAAAGGATATCATGGGTCATTGAAATTTCATTGTAGTTGGGATGCATGTGGTACGATTCGACGCCAAGCACTTGCTGGGTTTCTTCAACGGCATGAAGATCGTGTGCTCCCAAAACCACAGTAAACTGGCTGAGGAGAAAAGCATCCAGTGGGGATTAAAAGCCGTGCCATTTCCGCTCCCTCCTTCCTGCTCTTTCCTCCCTCTCTCCCTCCTTTCCTTCCTTTTCTTCTTGCCTTCCCTCTTCTAGCTGCCTTTTCCTCCTCTTCCGTCTTCTCGCTTTCCATATGTTTTACTTTCTCCCCTTCCCTCCCCTCCCCTTCTCTCCTTTCCCTTCCCTTCCTATTTTCTTCCCTTTCTCTTTTCCCTTCCTCTTCTTTCCCTTCTCTTCCCTTCCCTTCTTTATCTATTTACTTCCTTTCCTTTCCCTTTCCTTTTACACCTCCCTCCCTCCTTCCCCCTCTCTTTCATCCATCCATCCACCTCCACCTCCTCCTCCTCCTCCTCTTCTATCTATCATTTACTTTTCTTTCTCTTTCCCTCTTCCCTTCCCTCTCTCCCTTCTCCCTCTCTCTTTCAACCATCCTCCTCCTCCTCCTATCTATCATTTATCTCATCTTTCTTTCTTTTTCCCTCTTCCCTCCCCTCATTCCCTTCTCTCTCTCTTTCAACTCTCCTCCTCCTCCTCCTCCTCCTCCTCCCCCTCCCCCCCCCCCTCCCCCCCCCTCCTCCCCCTCCTCCTCCTCCTCCTCCTCCTCCTCCTCCTCCTCCTCCTCTTCTTCTTCTTCTTCTTCCTCCTCCTCTTCCTCCTCCTCGTATCTATCTATCTATCTATCTATCTATCTATCATTTATCTCATCTTTCTTTTTCTTTCTCTCTCTCCCCTCCCTCAAATGCCTGAGATGGAAGGACCCCAAAAGGTCATCTAGCCCAGCTCCCTACTTAGAGTACCACAAACTCCATGATTCCTCCTGTCTCTTTGCAACTTCTGCCGTGCCACCGTTTTTCCTGCTTCGGCTCTGTGGAAAACCCGCCCCGCATCCCACTTCCTTCCACCGCCAGTCTGGGCCCCGTTCGGCCCTCCCCTCTCTCCTTCCGCGCTGGTAAGGCTAGACCAGAAGAGGGGCTTCCCTTACTCCATGCAGTGAGCAGCTGTCATCACCCACTGCGGAGCCACCAGAAATCCTCCACATATGAAATCATCTTCAGACTTCAAGGCTACCATGTATGGTCTGGAATGGGGTACAGCTTCTTGACCCCCAATAATCCAACTCTTCAGTGGACCTGCGTGAGAATTGGAGGAATGTTCAGTGGCCTGTGTGGGTTTTGGGGTTGTTGTTTTTTTTATCCCAGGGGGTTACAGACAGAGGTGGGCTTCAAAATTTTTAGCAAAGGGTTCTCTGCCCAGTTGCTGGGTGAGCGTGGACATGGTGGGCGTGGCCTAGCTGGCCTCCTGCACCACAGTGGGGAGGGCTGTTTTTGCCCTTCCTGGGCTCTGCAGGCTTTCCTCAGGCTTCCGGGAGGGCGAAAATGGCCTCCCCCAGGCTCCAGAGGCTCTCTGGGAGCCGGAAATGGGCCCATTTCCGCCCTCCCAAACTTCTGGGAGGCCTGTTTTTCGCCTTCCCCAGAGTCTGGAGGCTTTCCTTAGGCCTCCAGGAGGGCAAAAATGGTCTCACCCAGACTCCAGAGGCTCTCTGGAAGCCAGAAACAGGCCCATTTTCAGCCTTCCTGAACTTCCAGAGGCCCATTTTTCGCCTTCCCCAGAGTCCGGAGGCTTTCCTTGAGTTTCCAGGAGGGTGAAAACAGCCTCTCCAGGCTCCGGAGGCTCTCTGGAAGCCAGAAACAGGCCCATTTCTGGCCTTTCCGAACTTCCGGAGGCCCATTTTTTGCCTTCCCCAGAGTCAGGAGGCTTTCCTTGAGCTTCCAGGATGGCAAAAACGGTCTCTCCCAGGCTCTGGAGGCTCTCTGGAAGCCAGAAACAGGCCCATTTTCAGCCTTCCTGAACTTCCAGGAGGCCCGTTTTTCACCCTCCCCGAGCCTCCGTTCAGGCCCTGCACTTACCTGCATCCAAAATGGGCCACGTGGGCACTCCTGGGAGGGCCGAGGAGGGGTGGGGTTGGCCAGCCAGGAGTGGGATTTGGGGGGGGGTTCTCCAAACTGCACAGAATCTTAGCTAGGGGCTCTCCCGAACCCCTACGAACCCCCAGCAGCCCACCCGTGGTTACAGACAATCCTCGACTTACAGCAGTTCACTTAGTGACAGTTCCAAGTTACCACGGCACTGAAAAAAAGGTGAACTTATTACCGTTCTTCACCCTTACAGCCGTTGCAGCCTCCCCATGGTCACGTGATCAACACTCAGATGCTTGGCAACTGACTCACACATACGACGGTTGCAGTGTCCCCTTGGGGGGTGGGGGGTGTCACGTGATGCCCTTTTGCAACCTTCTGACCAGCAAAGTCAAAGTCAACTTGAGACTTTCAAGAAGAGATTGGACTGCCATCTGTCAGAAATGGTGTAGGGTCTCCTGCTTGGGCAGAGGGTTGGACTAGATGGCCTCCCAGGTCCCTTCCAACTCTGATTATCTGTTATTTTTATTTGTCTTGGGGTATAGGTTTTGTATAGTTTTATCCTTTTTAACATTGTAAGCCACCCGGAGTTGCTCTGTAGTTAGATGGACAGCCAATAAATTTAATAAATAAATGTAGAAAACTGATTGAGGGTTTGTGTGGTAGAATCCCTCTAGCATTCAGAATAAGATTGAAAAACAGGCTTGCCAGATGCTACATCTTTTCTATCCTGCTCTACGGAGTGGAGAGTTGGTCTCTGACAGAAAGTCATTTAAAATGTGGATTTACAGGCCGCTGTTATATATACATCGGGTTGACAAAATCAGAAATGAAGAGATGGTAAGCCGCCTGGGAAAGCTAAGGGAAATCATCAAAACCATTAAAAAGAGAAAGTTATATTTCGGACATGGGATGCGACATCTGGAAAAATACGACATATTTCACTTAATCCTCCAGGGAAAGATTGAAGGCAATCGAGGTCCAGGCAGAAGACAAACAACATGGCTTCCAAATCTAAGGGACTGGTTTGGACAAAACTCAACAGCACTTTTTCGTGCTGCTGTTGATAAAAATAGGATCGCCAGCAAGGCTTGCCAAAATGTATAAAAACTTATCTGCAAAATGCTGGAAGTGCAAGGACTTACCGGGTATATTCTATCACGTGTGGTGGATGTATAACTATGCAAGAAAATATTGGAGATTGATACAGACATGGGTGAAACAAATGGTGGGAGAGCATATTCCATTTAAGCTAGCATTATTTCTCTTGGGAATAATGACAGAAGGTTATAGGAAAGGTATAGCATATTTAATAATACATGTATTGACAGTGGCAAGAATGATATACGCACAATATTGGAAGAATGAAACCACATCACCAGAAAGAGAGATAATAAGGATAACAGATAACAGATAATCAGAGTTGGAAGGGACCTTGTAGGTCACCTAGTCCAACCGGGAGACCCTAACCCAGGGGTAGGGAAACTTGGCTCTTTTATTGCTTATGGACTTCAACTCCCAGAATTCCTGAGGGAGCCATAAAAGGTTCCCCATTCCTGGCCTACTGGTTTTTCAGTTGTGGGGGAAATCAATTTTTTATTTGAATGGGACTGTTTAATATACAAAGGTAGGACATATTCTTTATATGGGACTGTTTAATATACAAATGTAGGA